GACGACATACCATAAATAGTTGATTTCTTAGCTCAACACATCACGCATGTCTAACACTCGGATATCAATAAACCTTGAATGTATGGGATGGAAACATACCATATATATGCATGGTACTTTCACAACGCGCTATTTGTATATGGTACTGTTTTTTTTTATCTTATGGAATGACCTAAAAGTGCATTTAATCAAATTTAATATAAAAATTTCTGCTTTTTTATCCGATTATGTTCTAAAAATTAAGGTTATTTAGGCAAAACTGTTATCGGTGCTTTTCGGATTGAAGTTTTCAAGTCAAAATTGAACAGCTCTTTTTTAAAGATGATCAAAATACCAGGATGAAAAGCCAGTAAAAATACCAGAGTTATTATATTCCTAATGGAACTATATAACCTGGTATGAAGCCATACCAGAAATTTTAAAACCTGTTACGGCACCATGATTAAAATTTTAAAATTATTACTATACAGTACTGGAAGTTTTGTAACCAGTATAAAATGGCGCAAGAAGTTCTTATACTGGTTTTTAAGCAAGCTGGAAGTTTGGATTCTAGTTTAAATACTTGCTGGAAATTTTAAAACTATTTGGAGAACATAATGAACAGTACTTAAAGCATGCACTTATTAAGTATTTACTGGTTCAAATTCTGTTTCAGCAATGAAATGGGTCTTAATGTCTTCTATCTTGCTATCCACATTTGATTCTTCGGATTAATTTCCCAAGTTTTTTTTTTATAAAATGTTTTTCTTAATTAAATATTAATTTCTAATCCTCTATGCGTACATTTAATTTTCCTCAATTTTTTAAAAATAATCAAAACATACATATTAAAGAATGTGATTACATGCACATATTCATAAAAAAATACATAAGATATATGTTTGATATTATTGCAACTATTTTATAATTTTGAAGCAACTAGCATTAAGTAAGATTTTTTACATATTTTAATTGTTTTAAAATCTGCATAAAATTATAACTTTATATAAAAAAAAGCATGTCATCAATAATTTAAATTTTAAAGAAACAAAGTTTAAATTTCGCTGAATATTTAAAAAAGCGATTTCGCTATAGCCAAGTTGTCCGTCAGGAAGATCAAAGAGGCTAAGGGCCCTTAAGTGCGATAGTGAGAACAATTTTATCGGCATTGCGCACTTACTGCCTTTACACTACTGATAAGCTGGTACTGAAGGTAATGAGCTCTTTTTATCTGACTGGATAATTCTTTTTGTTTAATTATGAAACAATGGGTATATTAAATTGAAAAATCCCTAGAAACTGAAGCTGGGTATGTTTAATAACATAAAAACTACATGTGCTTCAAAAAAAAAAAAAGAAAAAAAAAGGGAGAATGAAATAAGAGGCTCCCATTCTTTAGACTTGCTAGACGTGAAAGAAGTAAACAAAAGGGATTTGAACTAGCAATTGCAAATTTGACAACGGAAAAATTAAAATGAATAAGAAAACAAAACTAGAAAAACCACGATGGCCAAGAGTGATAGAGAAATTAAAAACTAACAAAGGTGTCAACAAAACATGTTAACTAGCAGTAACCGGGAGAGGCAATTCACAGCAAAATGAATTTTTACTTGCAGTAGGTATATTGTTCTAGAAAAAATTAAAAAAGAAAGGAGACAAGATAAAGATATCATAAAAAGGATAGATGTTGGGTGAGGAAAGACAATGACATGGAATTGAAAAAAAAAATATTATCTATAATGCTATTTCAAAACCTTCACAAACTCAAATGGGGTCCAACATAAATCCCAAATCAATTTACATTTCGTCTTTCCTTAACAATCTTTTTTAATTGATTAGCTTACTACTATGTGTTAGTAACCATATTTTTTAAAATTATTTTGTGAAAAACTATTACAGCCCAAAAAATATTTCAAAATTTAGAGCTTTGTTTTTTACGCGGAATTCATAAGGTACTCCTCCTCACTATTCAAATTAAAAAAAAAAGTTTTTGTTTTGTTATCTGTCTTTTGTATAAGTAATGATTTTACTCGAATGATTAAAAATTCAACTACTAACACATATTAGAAAAGTTAACTATTAGAAACCATATTTTGGGTTTTGGGTGGGAATGGGGATATGAATAGAAAATTGTAGTAGGGTCTAAAATGGATTTCAAAGGATTTTGAAAGTTAAAAAGGGACACCGGGGGAAATATCTTTGGAAACCTGATAAACACAAGTCTGCTAACTTTATATTTAAGTTATTTTTCGACTTGAAACTACTAAATAGTAATCTTTGTATAAATTGTAAGTCTAACTTATGTATATCCATTAAATTTATTGGTGATTTCGATGGGTGAATTCACATACATTTATTTTATAGTTCACATACAAGTTATTTTTCAGATTTTCGGCTTTTAATTGCTTATGTAGATAAGTTTTTACACACAAGCATTAGATACAATGATGTGAGTTTAAAAATTATCGTGCAACAATAAATAAACAATTTCAGAATATTTTGAGTTTTCATCATCCGCTTAAAGTCTTTACTCTTGTGATATTGTAGTATTGTATCAAGCAAATTTAAAATATTGAGGAAAATAGCAAGTATTTGTGCTCTATTCATGTTATATGGTGATGCTATCTATGTTTTAAAAAGGATATTCACGATATTTTTGCCCACATTATTCTGTACGGTGCTGCAATGCGTATACTAGAGTCGAATTCAATAGTATAAAAGGTATATAGTTTGTCTAAAGTAAGAACTCCCCTAGACATTCGTCTGGACCCGTGGCGGTGACTATGGCAACGAGGTATAACTATTTCAAATAGGGGTGTAAGTCACTATTTAGGACAGGTTTTGTCTCAAGTGGGAGAGAGAAAGGGAATCTTTTCCTTTGTATTGCCCTAAAGTGAAGAGAAGCTACCCTCCCAGAAATGCACTATTCTTGTTTCCTAAGCAGCAGACGGCCTCAGACTTTGTGGCGGGGGGAGTTCTTATCGTAGACAAACTATAGGTACGTTTGTTTATGAAAAGTCTTTTTTCCCATACATTTCTGAGTTGTATGTAATATGTAATTAACAAAGATAAATATTTTTAAAAAAAAAAATTCTGAGTTCTTAATTTTGCAATACATTTCTTCAGAACGTATAAGATACTTTTTTAAAATTGTTATTATTGCATAATTCTGTAATCAAATCACTATTTTATGAATAAAATGCAATAAAATATGTTATACTGGAAAAAAAATTTCCGAAATGATTTTTATTTCGAAACATATTTGTTACTTAAAATATGCATGTCGGCTCCGTTTTCAAAAAATTGACTACTTGCACTATATGAGGGAGGGTTTTAGGGCTAATTTTGTTTTTTAGGCTCGTATTCAACTGTTACATTCATACTTCCTCAAGGAAAAGCACATTAAATTTATCTTAAATTCTAAATAAAACACTGTTATGAAAAAGTATAGAATCAAAATGTGGCCGAAAAGTTTAGTGAGGTGCTAGAATAGGAAAGAAAATATTTTTGGTATTTTAGAAAGTGTTTCCTTATATCTACACTTAAAAAGATATAAAGGTGGATGCCATTGTTGTGAAGGTATTAATTGGATACATGTAAGTGACGTCATCGTTGGTAAATCACGGCATTTGTCAATTCAAAAGCCAATTAGGTTTGACAGACACACTTGGCAGGTATCTAATTAAATCTGATTTAAATCATAGGGTTAGGCAAAGCATAATCACTTCAGTTCTTCTCGAGCTGCAAGTACCTTATTTGATTAGTCACTTATCAACGTTAGGGATTTTGGTTCCATAAAAAGAAAATCAAACATCAACTGTTATGCGTCCATATTACAACTTCAAAACTTTATTCTGCAAAAATGAAAGATTAGTAAAATGAAATGAGTCACGACGCATTTAAATTTTGATATATTTATTGGCCGAAACATCGCATAAACATGAAAATAACATTTGCATAATAAAGTAATTTTTTTGTTGTTTTACAATACATAGGCGAAATGCAAAACATTTTCTAGTTATATAACTTTTTAGGTTTGTTTTTATCATTTTCTTTTTGCTTTTTTTGTTAGAGACGAAGGGTGGACTGCACGCAGACAATTTTTAAAATTTTATTCATTTTTTTGGTAGGTTTCTTTTCTTTTATTATTTTTGCAGAAATTTTATTAGTGCACAGAGCAATGGCTTCTCTTCTAAATCTTTCGCTTTGAAAAGAAAACCTTCTTTAACTTCCTTGTTTCTCGGTAAAATATTATATTCTATTATATTCTATATACTATCTTCTGATACTGTTTGCTTTTTCAAAATCTCGTGTCCTGTTGAGGCAAGTTACAGAGCTTAATTTGGCTGAGATGGTCAATAATGAGATAATAGGTAGATGTTATGATTCCTCGTTCTTTGTGAGGAATTCCTTGTCTTTGAACATTTCATTGATTTACAGAATGGTAAATGTGTTTTATCTAGAACAGCAAAAATTGAAAGATATTTATTAAAAAAACTTTAGCCAAAGAAAAAATCCGAAATGAAAATATTGGAAGTAGATTAAATTACTTTACGATTTTTTTAAACATTTAAACTATTTTAATCAAAAATTTATTAAACGAAATCGTTAAAAAGGTAAGAAAATAACTTTTTGGCATAGGTAAGAAAATACCTAAATTTTTTTGAAATACCTACATTTATTTTATTACATCTGTTAAAATACAATTTTTCATTGTAATAGTTTTTAAATGGCTATATGTTTTCATTAAAACATATATATTAAATTAAATTCCAGAAAATGTTGGATGGTGCTGCTCTAAATTTAACACATTTATTCAATCTGCATCCCAAGAAACATTCGTAGATATGGAAAAGTGATGGAAATTTTTTATTTATTTAATCATATTATACTCAGTTTGAGGTATTGTGTGCAGGGATTGATTAATTTGTTGATAAGCTTTGTTTTGATCTTGTTATGAGATTGCTCGTGCACATATACATCAATATCGAAATGAATGTTAAGAAAAAAGAAGACATAAATTACAAAAATTTTCGGTTTGGATCTTTTGATCTTTGAAGTTGGAAAAGTTTTTTTATGTTTTTCCATTTTCTCTTGAGGTAACTCTTTTTTGCAGGGATGTTTGGTGGTTCCGAGGAGCTTTTAAAATCAGGGTTTAAGCTTAATTCTTCCAAAATGAAGGGATCTTCTGGGTCTATTTCTACATAGTTTCTTCTATTGTATTCTGCTATACTTTCTGGTGTTCTGTTTTTGTCAAATAAATAACTCTGTAGTATTAAGTCACTCGAAAACAAGGCTGAATAGTCATTTTCTATATCCATATTTCTCACTTTTTGATGGTAAGATGCTCTACTTTTACTTAGGTGCTCTTGTGACAGGTGGAGCTGAGAAATGTCGTAGGTGTTCTTTGCACTTGTTTCTAATTTTATTTCCTTCACCTCTTCATCATTAGTCTTGTTATTCTGAATCATTTGATTTTCATATGTTCTTCCCACGCTCGGATCTTGTTGAAGCGGGGTGAACTGAGGTGCGGAATAGATGAACTCTTCATTTGTTTCAAAATCTCTATCGTTATTGGAAGTGTTGCAGATATTTTCTTTACTTGTTTCATTTCGTCTTTCTTTCAATTCTCCATCATAGGTCTTATTTTCCTTAGTCCGTTGATCTTCACAAGCTCGTCCCTCGCTCGGATCTAGTTGAAGCGGGGTGAGCTGAGGCTCGTAATAGATGATCTCAACACTCTTTTCATTACTTCTTTTCTTCAATTCTTCATCGTGGATGTTGCTTTTCTTACTAATTTGATCTTCACAAGTTCTTCCCACTCTCCGATCTAGTTGTAGCGGGGTCAGCTGATTCGAGTGGCAGATGTTCTCATCACTTGTTTCAATATTTTTTACTTTCAATTCTTCATTCAATTTTTCTTCATGGGTCTGGTTTTTCTGAATTCTTTGATCTTTACAAGCTCGTCCCAAGCTCAGATCTTGTTGAAGCTGGATAAGCTGAGGAGTGGGGGAGATGTTCGCATCACTCATTTCAATAATTATTTCTTTCAATTTTTCTTCATGGGTCGGGTTTTTCTGAATTCTTTGATCTTTACAAGCTCGTCCCAAGCTCAGATCTTGTTGAGGCTGGTTAAGCTGAGGAGTGGGGGAGAGGTTTGCCTCACTCATTTCAATAATTATTTCTTTCAATTTTTCTTCATGGGTCTGGTTTTTCTGAATTCTTTGATCTTTACAAGCTCGTCCCAAGCTCAGATCTTGCTGAAGCTGGATAAGCTGAGGAGTGTGGGAGATGTTCGCATCACTCATTTCAATAATTATTTCTTTCAATTTTTCTTCATGGGTCTGGTTTTTCTGAATTCTTTGATCTTTACAAGCTTGTCCCAAGCTCAGATCTTGTTGAAGCTGGATAAGCTGAGGAGTGTGGGAGAGGTTCGCATCACTCATTTCAATAATTATTTCTTTCAATTTTTCTTCATGGGTCTGGTTCTGAATTCTTTGATCTTTACAAGCTCGTCCCAAACTCAGATCTTGTTGAGGCTGGTTAAGCTGAGGAGTGTGGGAGATGTTCGCATCACTCATTTCAATAATTATTTGTTTCAATTTTTCTTCATGGGTCTGGTTTTTCTGAATTCTTTGATCTTTACTAGCTCGTCCCAAGCTCAGATCTTGTTGAAGCTGGATAAGCTGAGGAGTGTGGGAGATGTTCGCATCACTCATTTCAATAATTATTTCTTTCAATTTTTCTTCATGGGTCTGGTTTTTCTGAATTCTTTGATCTTTACAAGCTCGTCCCAAGCTCAGATCTTGTTGAGGCTGGTTAAACTGAGGAGTGTGGGAGAGGTTCGCATCACTCATTTCAATATTTCTTTGTTTCAATTCTAAGACATGGGTTTTGTTCTTCTTAATGATTTGATCATCACAAGCTCGTCCCTCGTTCGAATCTTGTTGAAACGGGGTGAGCTGAGGAGTACCGCAGATGTTATCAGCACTTCTTTCCACAAGGGTATGTTTGAATTCGTCATAATGGGTCTTGTTCTCCTTATTTATTTGATATTCAAAAGCTCCTTCCACGTTCAGATCTTGTTGAAACGGGGTAAGCTGAGGAGTATAGCAGATGTTATGAGCAATTCTCTCCACATGGGTTTGTTTGAATTCTTCATGATGGATATTGTTCTCCTTAATGATTTGATCTTCAAGAGCTCCTTCCACGTTCGGATCTTGTTGAAACGGGGTGAGCTGAGGAGTACCGCAGATGTTATCAGCACTTCTTTCCACATGGGTTTGCTTGAATTCTTCATGATTGGTCTTGTTCTCCTTAATGATTTGATCTTCAAGAGCTCCTTCCACGCTCGGATCTAATTGAAGCGGAGTAAGCTTAGACGTGTTCCAGTTGTTTTGGATATCTTTAAAGATTTGGTTTTCTTCCTTTGAATTATCAATCTCATTTGGGGAGTTAGTCTTTTTTGATTTCTTTGTTTTTGTGCTGAAAAGAAAATTTAAGTACTTAATACTGATAACGCCTATTTAAAATGTTTTCTACGGAACTTCTTTTCTAATTATATTACTTCAACACTCTTTTATCAAATTTAGCATTGAATTTTCTAACAATTTCTTATTAATTGACTTAAAACTCATTTCAATGCATACGCTTATTTTGGTGAAAATGTGATATTATAAAATTTTCACTACTGATTATATTTAAATCTAATTTTACACCAGACAAATTTGATATTATCTAGTCTTTTCAAACCAAAAAAATGCTGTAATCATCTTCAAATTCATCAGTAAATTTTAGTCCAAATGAATAATTTTGAATTTACCAATCTTGTGAAAAAAATTATAAATATCTTTTTTCTGTTATTTGATTAACATAATTTCTTAGAAACGCAGAAACGTTTTCTTAATATGTTTATTAATATGTTTAGTTTTAAATGTATAATTTTTGGACTGTTCAATTGGAGAAAATTCTGCAACTATTGTGATAAATAATATTATTATTTTTATTCGTTCATAATTTTATCTATAAAATATTTAACAGGAAGCAATTATGCTCTTTGTCTTAAAAAATCTAAGCCTGCAGCAGTGTTAACTGTGTTTAGGTTATTATAGTCACGTAAATTAAAAAAGAAGTAGATTGTTATTACGATTTTATAATCATAGTTTTACTAATATTTAATTTTCTGGAGAAATAGTAGTTTTCCATTATTTAGGTGACTGCTAGCTTCTTTTTTTTAAAAAAATAATAAATGAATAAATAGAATAGTTGGATTTACTTATGCTGGCGAAATAGAGAAGTGGATTTAATTTGTTTTAAAAATATTTTTAATAAAGATTTCAAACAGTATCGTGTATTTATTTTAGCTTTTTTTTACCTGAACAACAAGCGCAGAATATTGAGTTTATTTGTTTATCAAAGTACATATTGCAGAGTACTTAAGCCTCCATTGTTGTAATTATGTTTCGTTTTCTTTAACACACATTTTAGAAAACATCTTTACATTCAAACATGCTGTGTATGAAGAAAGACCCCCGTTTTAAAACAACTTTTTTCATCTCTAAATTCACTGAGAGGAATTAATTGTTGTAAGAGTGGCAAAACAAAAATTCTCTTAAATTGACTGCTGTCTGAAATTGAAAAGTGACCAAAATTGTCTATGGGGGAAAATCATTTAAAAACCTTCCACCATCGAAGAACATCATTTCTAAGCAGGCTTTGTAACAGACAGCAGGAGTATAGTGCAATAGTTGGAACAGTCAACAGTATTCTCCATATCCAGATAGCTGGGGCTGGACTCCCAGAAATCATGTAACCTTACTGCAACCTTGTGTCATGAATTTTATTTTAATTGTCACGTAAATGTTTGTACTAAAAAACTTTTTTCAATAAAGCAAAAATATTGCCGTTTCAAACCTTTCATCCTAAAAGGACAGAAAATTATTTTTTATAGCTTTTTTAAAAAGTATTGTCACTTAGGATCATAATAACGTTTTAGCTGACGTCACACTAGCGATAGGATCAAATTGAATTGTTCATTAAAATTTCATGACAAGGTGGATTTTAGCTGAAATAAGCACTTTGTGAAACGAATCCTTATAATTACCTAGATTTATGATTATTTTCACCATGAGACTAGCTTTAGGATTTGTTTGTGCCTGAAAACCCTAAGTCAACCTCGATTTAAGGTTTTTATATAGAAGGTTGTTTTCCAAGGTTTTGGATGAGGGTAATGTGCGTAAAATAGAGCAGATTGTCACAGATCTTGTTTTAAGGTTAGAAGGTTTACACGTAAATCGTATTACAACCCTTTTTAGGTTTACATTCAAAGGTTTTTATTGAGTGAAAATAAACCTTATTTTGTCATCTGGGACTTAAAGTCTGTATGATGGCTTCCCTATTCTCTAAATTTAATTTAATGGAACGTCCCATTCGTAGTTGTTGTGGAAGGCTCTAGTTAATTTGGGGCAGGGGAAGCGAATAAATTTCGTTACATAAAATAATACCATCATTTTCGACTCTGAAAAGCAGTCTTTCTGTGGTTTGAAGTTGATATTTGCATTGAGAACAAAACTTTTTACATTCTATATTTCTTTTATAAACTAGCTTTACAGGACAAACTCTCAAACTACAACGACTGAACCGAACATGTAAAAGTTGCTTACGTAGTGGATGCAAATTACTTCAGAAAATCAAGATTGTTTTACGGTAGATTCTAAGTTACCAGAAAACTGTGCAACCATGATCTAGACCGTGTTACTGATCCAGATAAACCTTGGTTTCTTTTCTGGTGAGCAAATAAAGAAAGCAGGTTCACGAAGACATTTTAAAGAAACTATGAAATCCTTATAATAGGTTGGAGAACATTGAAGATCAATCCAAAGAAAGCTCTTTTTACGGTAGATTCTAAGTTACCAGAAAACTGTGTAACCGTGATCTAGACCGTGTTACTGATCTAGATAAACCTTGTTTTTTTTTTCTTCTGATGAGCAAATAAAGAACCCATTTTCACGAAGACATTTTAAAGAAAGTATGAAATCCTTATCATAGGTTGGAGAACATTGAAGGTCAATCCTAAGTTATAACCAACTAGTATAGGCATAGGACGCTTTTTTATTGTTTGAATATTTTCTAAATAGTAAAATATTGTGGAAACTGCATCAGAATTACGATTGTATAAATCTGTTATTTTTCAAAGTATGTTATTTTATATATAGTTTCTTATTGGTACATATATTTAAAAAAAAAGATCTAGTTTCTGATGCGTTTAAAAAGTATGTAGTTCTTGTTCCAAATCCCAAATTATAAACTTTTAGGCACTTGTGGAAATACACATGTAGATCACATGTTAGGCATACGTGGAGAATTTGGTTTCAGGTTGAAACTTGAAAATGTTTCTCATAACACTCCTGTTTTTAACACTCCTTTGCTTCTTGTTGCAAGGCAAAGGGTTTTGGTATATCATGCATCTAACATCTTCAACTGTGATTGGTCAGATTTCTATTGCGTTTTTGCTTTTTTCTTGATTTAGCTGTAAGAAGGCCACTAAAAAATTTAATTACGATATAATTGCTATTTATGGGCCTATTTAAGTGATCACTGTCTTAAGTGATCTCGAACTATAAGAATTGTCTTTAGGCTTATTTTATGAAGCTGCTATTTATATATTGCATTTAATTCAGTTATGCCAATGACCTAAATCTTCCAGTATAAGATTTGTTATTACGCTTATTTTATGAAGCTGCTATTCATACATTACATTCATTACATTTTACTCATTAGTGGCAACAGTCTGAATCTCCCAGTATAAGATTTGTTATTATGTTTATTTTAAAAAGCTGATATTCATACATTGCATTTTGCTCATTAGTGCCATCGGCTTGAATCTCTCAGCATGAGAACTTTTATTAGTATTATTTTAAAATATGCTATTCCTATATTGCTATTAGCTCATTAGTGCCAACGGCCTGAATCTCCCAGTATAACATTTGTTATCAGTATGCTTATTTTAAGAAGCTGATATTCATACATTGCATTTTGCTCATTCGTGCCAACGGTTTGAATCTCTCAGCATGAGAATTTTTATTAGCATTATTTTAAAAGTTGCTATTCATATATTGCCAGTAGCTCATTAGTACCAACGACCTGAATCTCATAGTATACGATTTGTTATTACGTATATTTTATGAAGCAGTTATTCATACAAAACATTGTATTTAGCTCATTAATGCCAGCGTCCTGAATCTCTGTATATTGTAATTCCGTATTTCTGAAGAAGCCGTTATTCATGCATTGCATTTAACTCATTAGTGTTAATTGCCTGAATCACCCAGTAGAAGAGTTATTTTGTCCAACCGCCTGGGTATTGCAATTTAAGGGTTGTCATCGCATACATTTTAATTTTCCTATATTACATTTAACTCCTTAGTGCCAAAGACTTCTTTCAGGGACATACTGTCATCAGGGACATACTGTCAGGGACATTCTGTCATTTCCTGCATTCATTAAGTAAGACAAATTTTTGAATTATATTTTTTTTATGCAACGGATTTTCGTTTGAATTTTTTAAAAGGATACTGTACAATTTACAAAAGAAATTATTTATAAACTTTCGTATTGCTTTCATCATATTAAATATTAAATATTATTGATAGATTTCAAATTTCCCCCTGGGGATTAATTTACACAGCAATCGTACATGACTTTCATAAGTTTTTCAGAAAATGACAAAATTTTTTATTCTTATTTCTAGGAGTACGAATAATTACTACAATTAGGACATAGTATGCAATATAAAAAATATTACTTACATTTTAATCCAGAAATGACGAAATATGTCACACATAATTGCAGATTAATATTTGACGCCGGAAACTGAAAAGAAGTAGATTTAGACGGAAAGGATGAGCTGCTTTGTTGCATTGATTAGCAAACATTTGTTTCATTGTTACTAACTATTTGACTATTCCATAACAATACAGTAAATTTTGTTCATAATCACATATTTTGCATTATTTATATTTCAACAATATTTTTCTTACTTTAACCGGGGGGAGGGGGAAGGAAATAAGGAGTATCCTTCCACGGGCCATTGCATCATAAGGGTGCCAATATCAAGCTATGAATAAATCCTGTACAAAATGGTCATCTGGTACAATACTAATCTAGAGAAAGCTATAGAAATACATGTGAATGTTTATTTATGTAGGGGAGAGGGGGCTAGCATAGACTTAAAACTGTATAGGGGGAGTAATTCTGTAATTTAACAGATGATATTTCTCTAAATGTTTTCTCTACACCCTTGATTGCTAATATAAGGTTAATTCAATGAAAAAGTGAATTTTTTATGTACATTTTAAATGTATTAAAATTACTTTTATTCAGTGTTCTAAATAATTATAAAAGATATATATTATTTTTATGAATAGGGTTATTACATATTTTAACTGAAACTTTTGAATTGCCTTTTTTTAAATTTCTTCCGGTTT